ATCCCACAGCAGCACAATGAGACTGTGGTGCAGCTCCTGGGGCTCGCTCTACACCACTGCAGGATTTATCTCCTGCTTGCTTTCTCTCATGCACCTCTTTCCATTCCTGCCCCAACGTGTGCCACGGAGCTGAAAAGGTGTGTGGTTGGTGGCTGGGTCTGCTGACGTTGGGACATGTGGTCGCAGGGGCATGGGGGGGTTCTGGTGCAGATGGATCTGTGCTGGGTAAGGTGCAAAAATCTGACAGTGAGAGCATGACAACAGGAGCTATTTGTTCAATCAATGATTTACCAGATGTGTACACTGTACTAAAGGCTTGTAAACATGCTTTAATGGCCAGCTGTAAATCCAGACGGTAGCAGTGCCAACTCCAACTCCATTGGACACGTCTCAGAACAGCAGCATAAGGGCCCTGAATCACTTTGTTATAGGCCCTGTCAGCTCTGCAATTGTGCATGTAAATCAAAGAGCCAATGTCCTTAGGTCAAAATTATTTGGATGTCAGGAGAGGTTTTATGGCCACAGCTTTTCCCTTTCTGGGTTCCCTGCAGTTTCATGTCTTCCACGAATCACATCTCCAGAACATCAGGTTTCTGTCCGAGTGCCCCGAGTGCAGGGCTGTGTTTTCCCTGACTGGGTTGGAAGTCTCCTTTGTTAATCACTGAAGCAGAGCATCATTAGTGAGAAGTGCAGAATGTACACAAAGAAGAACTTGCCAAATTACTAATAAGCAGAAACTCCATCCATCTTAATGAGATGGGGTTAAGAAAATAGCAACCTAGGATATACACAATGGAGCCTTTCCATGCTGTTTGTTTAGCCATGTTAGAAAGTAGTTCAGAGCTCCATCTCTTGTAGTTCAGCTTAGGGAGGCTGAAGCACAGTTTCCAAACCACAGGCTGCTGGTTGCTCTTGCAAATCATCAAACATGAGAAAGATAAATAAATAAACGGACAGACAGCTCAATAAATTATTAGAGGGAAAATAAGCGTCTGGTTTCCAAACAAATGGAAGAACACCACCACAACAAAATGCTGGGCTCTCTTTGCTGCTGAGCAAATCAGGTTTGCTCCACACGGATGAGGAGCACTGCTTGGGGCAGAGAGGATTGCAAAGTGCTGCCCCACCTTGCTGTGCTGCTGGAGGGCTGGGAAGGAGCAGAGAGAAGCTTTTATTTGGGAAAAGCTGGGGATGAATTGCAAATCTCTGGCTCCCTGCTGACCTCCTGGGCATTGGTAGCACAGAAGGGCTCACACCACACTGAGGTGGCTGCACACCTGTGCTGCCGAGCCACGTTTTTCTTTTGTTGGGTAGAAATGACTTGAAGTGCATTTCACACGAGCTGCTCAGCTGCTGCTATTTTATTGAATGCCAGCACTCGCTGCACGTTATTGAGACAAACTTTATATATGCTACAGCAGCCTGCACCTGGTCCAGGGCAAAGCTGAGCCTCCTAGAGAAAAATGTGCTGTAATGCAGCAAGTTATTATGGGATAAATATTTATAAGCGCCTGTAAATATTTGCCATGGGTTCCCTCTTGGGATTAGGGGCAGACGGTCAGAGTTTTCAGCAGTGCCATTGGAGTTCTTTAAGTGTTATCTCAGCTAGTAAACCCTTTGCTTGTTGTGTTTAGTTATAGAATTTAATGGTGCTAATTTCACACTAACAGGAGATGTCAGTGGAACTGCACATACCTTGACCCCAGCTGGGCATGGGCTGCTGCATGCCAGGATGCCCTCTCCGTGTGGGCAGCAGCACAGGGCTGCCCAGCTGCAGAACTCTGTTTGCAGCTCCCCAGGCACGAAGGTGAGGGCGCATTCATGGCTAATGAAAGCTCTGAGCTATCTGCTGAGCAAAACCAGAAAACAAACACAGCAAAGCTAACATCCTCCATGGCAGCCTGACCCCAGCAGGGGCTATCACTTCTGGCTACCAGGGGGGTCTGAGCTAAAGCAAATATTCCCTGCGTTTTCCAGGAGCTGCACTGCTGCAGGAGGTGGCACGGCAGGGTCCCTGAACAAAGATGATGGGGATGGGGGTGGGGACGGGGTTGAGGATGGGAATGGGGATGGAGATGGGGATGGAACAGTTGCTGCCAGCCTTGTCTCGCTGCTGGTGGCTGTTGTGTCACCACTGCCCCATTGGGCTTGGGGTGGGACAGGCACAGTGGTGGGAAACTGGGGAAGAAATGCCAGGGCAGGCGAGGCCACGACTCCTCCATGCCCTCAAATGCAGCAGTGGAACAATGGGCCCCGGGCAATAGCGCTCATTGGATTGTTGCATGGGACTCTATTTGGGGGCTCCACTTTGCTGCTCATGCACGAAAGGCAGTCATTTGGCAAAAATCAGCTCAGTTAGCAGCTATTGTTCGTAAAGAGCCTGGGGCTGAATGGGCTCAGGGCTAATATATTCTATTATCCCATGCCTGCCTGTTCCCGGACAACATGGAGGGAAAGGCACATTCCAGTCCCAGCAGCCAAGCACTGTGGGCAGAGCAGCAGGGCCAGAAGGGATGGGGTGCAGTGGGCACAGCTCAGGGGCTGCAGTTTGCCAGAGTGTGCTGGCTGTGTTGAGCCTTCAACACTGCTTGCCCATGGCAGGGGGGATGGGAGCACCCAAGCAGCAGAGCAAGCAGTCCTGCAGGGTCCCACAGCCTGCAGGACAAACAACAGAGACCGAAATAAGCATGGTTAATTGAGCTGGGCTTGTCACAGGGCAGGGAGGACTCAGGATAACCAAAAGGGTGCATGTTGCAAGGCATCTTGTTATTCAGTAAGGATATGCCAGCCCCTTTGGGAGAGGCAACAATAAATGGCTGTAAAGTAAAGTCAAATAATGACACTGCAGAAACTTAGGAAGCAGCAGAGGGCTACGTAATTGTGAATGGGAATGGTTGCACAGGCATTTAGAAAAGTTAATGCCCAGTTTGGAAAGGGTTTATTGAAAGAGCACTGCTATATATACTGCTCATACTGTGTGTTATGCAATGCAGTGGTCTAGACCAGAGCTGCTAGATTTTTTTCTTTTGGAGGCAGTTCTATTTCAGCCCACAGTTCACTCATGAATACCATGCAGGTGCAGCTGCCATGAATATGGCTATCAAATACAGAAGGGTGCCAGCAGAACTGTTTGTAAGGCTGAGGATAGAGTTGTCCGTGCTGTTTGTGGGATGCTTCAGAACCAAAGCAACAGACCTGCAGCGTTCTGCTGGGATGGGGAGGGCTGAGCTGGGGTGGGCAGCCCTGGGAGATGCATCGCTGTGCCTCAGGATGCAGCCAGCCCAAGGAGCAGCATGGATGCTCTGGATATGTGATGCAGTGCATCTCTGGAATGGTTTTGTTTCTCTTTCTGTTGAGGTGGGTGTAAGCAGCTCTGATGGAGAGCTCTAAGACTTTCTGGTGCTGTTGCAGTTAAAAATGGAGCATTGCTTGCAGAGCGTGGTTCTGAGCACCCAGAAGAGCAGGGGTCTGTGTTCAGGACCAGACAGTTGTGCCTGCAGGCATAGTACTTGGCTGTGAATAAATATTACTGAGAGAAATGCAGCCAAAAACAGCCTTAAGCAGATCCATGTCCTGTTTTGTGCTACACTGCGACATGCTGCTTGGACTTTGCAATATGTTCTATGTTCTGTGAGATGTTTCAGTGTTTCTAAATTGATGTTGGTAAAAGCAAATTCTAGGATGTCAGGATTTCCCCAGGGATGAAAAGCCCATTTTGCAGCTGTTTCTTCGTGCAAACACCAATCAGGGTTCTACTGCCATTCCCTGAGCCCGAGCAGCAGGGAAGAGCCCGCTCCATCCCACTGCTTTTCATTCAGTAACTGGCACCTTACGGCGAAGACTTCTCTTGTTTACTACTGAATTCTCCACTTCATTAGCAGTGCTAACAGGCTGCTCTCTTCTACTGGGCCTCAAGTGGCTCTTTCACGCTTGCAGGCTGCAGAACCTCTTCCATTTACCTCTCAATGAGGTGTAGTTCCTGCTTTTAATATCGCAAGCTGTTTCAGCAGAAAACAGCAACAGTAACTGAGCTCAGCGTAGGGCCAGGGGAAGGGGCTCAGGGGAGCACAGGGACTGCCTGATGGCCCAACTCCTGCACACAGCTCGGCTGAGCTGCAAGCCCAGAACCGAGGGGCCCAGCTGTGCCCATGTGTGATGGTGGGGCAGCACTGGGTGCTGCTGCTGCATGGCTCCAGCACTGTGGGCATGCTTCCAGGCGTAATTCCTCTTTAAGAAACAGACCTACTCTTTCCCCTGCTTCCCCCCCCCCCGTGGGGTGGTTTTGTTTGTGTGTTTTTCCTGCAAATACCGTAGTTTGGGTTGGAATTTGTCCACAGGGAAATGAGATCTGCACGGTCCGCTCCAGGCACTCACAAACATTCACAATCTCGGAAAAGCTGCTTAGGAGCACCAGGGCTTTGCAGAGCTGCTTCAGCTCCGTGCCACAACTGCCCCCGGTACCCCCAGCTCTCCCTGGAAGGAAGCAGCAGGATCTACGGCCGCGCTCACGCGTTTCCTAAGCCTAAGGGAGCCTCCCCGTGCTTTCGCCTTCCCCAAACACCCCTCCACCGTGCCGCAGGTGCGGCGCCCTCCCGCTCGCTCCGAGGCACGGAGCTCCTCCGCCGGACCGCGGCGCCGTCGGGGCTCGCCTGGGGCGGTGCAGAGGCGGCCGGGCCGGTGCGGGATTGGCTCCCGGTGCCGCTGATTGACATCGGAGGACGAGTGCGCGGCGGGCGGTACCGCCGTGATTGGCTGCCGGGGGCTCACAAACCCGCGGCGCGGGGCGGTGGGGCCAGAGTGGGGCCGGGGTTGGGGAGGGAGCGGGCGGCTTTGAGAGGGGGCAGCGGCGGCAGCGACGGGCGTCTGGCGGGAGGGGCCGCCGAACGTCGGGTGGGAGTCCCGGGAAGGGGTGTCTGGGAACAGAGCGGGGGAATCCGGGTGAAGCTGCGGGGAGTGGCGGTGCCGCGGGCGGTGCCGTCGGGGCGGCCGTCGGCGCGGCCATGGGCGGAGTGCGGGGCGAGCTGCGGGCGCTGCTGTCGCTAGCCGCGGGGCTGCTGGCGTGCGGCGGGGCCAGCGAGTACGACTACGTGAGCTACCAGTCCGATCTGGGGCCCTACCCTGGGGGTCGCTTTTACACCAAACCCCACCAATGCGTGGCCATCCCCGCCGACCTGAGGCTGTGTCACAGCGTGGGTTATGATAAGATGGTGTTGCCCAACCTGCTGGACCACGAGACCATGGCCGAGGTGAAGCACCAGGCGAGCAGCTGGGTGCCGCTGCTCAACAAGAACTGCCATATGGGCACCCAGGTCTTCCTCTGCTCCCTCTTTGCTCCCGTCTGCCTGGACCGGCCGGTCTACCCGTGCCGCTGGCTCTGCGAGGCTGTGCGTGATTCCTGTGAGCCCGTCATGCAGTTCTTTGGCTTCTTTTGGCCGGAGATGCTCAAATGTGACCAGTTCCCACAGGATGATGTCTGCATTGCCATGACAGCTCCCAATGCCACCGAAGTCTCCAGGCCTAAAGGTAAGGCATGGTCAGAGCTGGGGGGGAGGGGGATCAGATGTCAGCTCAAGAAAAGCTGTATCCCTGTCCCCAAGCAGGATGGATGCGCTGCCTGCTCCTTGCCACTCTTGGAGCAGTAATCGTGGAGCAGGTGGAGCCTGGGGAGTTGCAGTGCTGTAATCTGTGCATCCCTCTTCTCCTGAGAAGTGTTTCTCTTCCATGCTTGGCTGCTGTGGGACCATTCTTCAGCTGCAGTGGGATGTGTGTGCTTACACATGGCAGGAATGTCTGGCTGGAGTAGATGGTGGCAGTGGTCCCAACAGAGCACCACACTTCCCAGGCAGCACTGAGGCTCAGTAGCCTGCCCGAGTGGAGGAACACAGGGGAGGAAAAGCAGCCCTGCCTTCCCAATGGGGGCTGTATGGTGGAGGGAGGCTGCAGGCAGGGTGTCCCATCAAGAAGCAACTGGGGAAAGTGGATGTGTTTCTTATTTTCACCATCGTGCTCCATGAGTCTGCCTGTGTCAGACCAGCTTGCCCACAGTGAGTTGCAAGGAGTCTGGTTAGTTGCTGGAAACTTTTAAAATAATCAAATGAACGTTCTGGTGTAAGGTAAGCATTCTGTGTTAAAGCACTTTGTAAAGCTACTGAGAGGTGTTTGCAGAGGGAGAAGGCAGGGGCTGTAGGGTTGCACGGCACTCACTGAAGCAATTGATGGAAGGAGCTCTTTGTTTTCAGGGGAGGCTCTAAGATCTCTGCTCTGGGTGAACCCAGACCCTTGGTCCAGACTGCTGCTGTGTCTTGTGAACAGGTACAAAGGTTGCTTTTATTCCTCAGGGACTTGCAGCCAAGCAGAGCAGAACTGCAGCCTGTAGAGCTGCCCCTGCTCTGGGCTGTGTGCAGGTCAGTATCTTCAGAGGCTTTAGTAGCTCCAGACCTGGGGTCACCCTTGTGAGCAAGCAGCATCTGCCAATCTTCCTTGGTGTGGTTCAACAGCCGTCTTTGCGATGAACTTTCAGGCCTGTTTAGACAGATGGGGCAGCATTGCTTTCTTTTGGTGCTGTGCAGCAGCACGGTGTTCAGTACCACGCTGTCACTCACATCACTGCAGTGACTTTGTTACAGCAAAGCCCCTCTGCTGCCTGCAGCTGTGTGTAGACTTCTGCTGGTGTGTATTTCTGGAGCCCCATGGATTTCAGGCTCTGGGGTGTTTCCTATTGATTCAAAGAAGGTCAGAGCCCAGCAGTATCCCTCCCCCCACCCCATTCTCAGGGCATTAATAAGAACGAGTCTTTTCAGTATTTTTTCCCATTAACACCTTAAAATTGGAATTTGTTTCTGCCTCTCAAAGAGCTGACCTGCTGAATTCCTTTCTCCTTAAGCATTAGGCAGTAAAGCCTGCAGGCCCACAGGATGCATCAGGGGAGTTGCAGATTAATATAGCATTACACATTCCTTCTCCCTGCCCCTGGAGTAAGCTAGCTCTAAAGCCAGGCATTAGAAAATGGTCAGCAGGGAGAAAAACTGGAAACAGTCCTCAGAGTGAAGCTGTCACATACAGAACGTGGGCTCTGTCCCAGCTGTTGTAGGCTGGGAGGTGTCAGAGCTTGGACTGTTGGGTGCTCTCAGGGTGCTGGGGGTTGGGCTGGGGTCCCAGAGCTGCCCAGGGTGCACAGCAGCAGCCCCAGCTCACGTTGTGGGTATGCTACAGCATCCCTGGGGCAACGCACGCAGCTCAAACAAAGCCTGACTTTTCACCAGGGAACAGTGAGTTTTATTTTACTTTTTTTTTTTTTTTTTTTTTTTGTCGGAGCTTGGAAAGCTTGTAGGTTTGGCACTGTGGTGGCTTTCCTGCTGGCTGTCTGCCCTGTGTGGGCTCGACCTCTTGGTGTGCTCTTTGGCTATGAGATAAGCTGATGATGAGGGGTATACCCTTCTGCTCCCAGGGTATGGGATTGGGTGGTCTGCACCACAGCTGCTCTCCTCCTGGCAGCAGACAGTGTGGGGTCCTCCCGCCAGCATCCCCTTGCCATGAGCTTGTTAAATGTACAGTATGCAAAGATTCTGACTGCTCATTTAAAAATAAAGCATTTGGGCTGTCATCATGTCCCAGAAACTTCTCCCCGTGTTCCTGTAAGCTAAGCTGGTAAAGTGGCTATGGCATTGGTAGGGTGTTGGAAGGGGATGTCACCCAGCTCAGGCACACCAAGAATGGCATTTCTAGGGCTGCTCCTGGACGCAGTGAGGATTACCTTGTTGCTGGCAAACCGGGACAATTGGAAGGCCAATTGCTCTACACGTGTGATTAATAAAGGCTTCTGACCCCAGGAATGAATGAGGGTTTGGCACAAAGCAGGATGGGTGGCGGGAGGGGAGAAGCACTGCACAGGAATGAGTGTCCAGCTGGGAGTCCCACGGGGCATCTGTGGACGAGGCAGCAGCACTGTGGTCTGCACGAGGTGTGCGGCTTTATACCCTCCTGCTGGTAGCTGCTGTGCTGCAGGTCCAGGCTCCTTCTGCCTGCGGAGACTGGCAGACGTTGCACTGCAGCGTGGCTCCAGAGAACAGCTCTTGTGTGTGGGAAAGAGCCCTTGTGCTGGACCGAGAGCATCTCCCTGCTTCAATAAATTCATCCGTCAGTAGCACAAACCTCTGTCTGTGCTGCTGGGTGGTCTCTGCTGGCTGGAGGCAGGAACCTGGAAGCAGTTGATTATCCTCTGGATGTGAGGAGCTCTCCTGATGAGCTGGGTTGTGCGTGTCCTGAACCCTGTCTGGCTCTGGGGTGGTTACCATTGTTGTGTGAGCCTTCCCTGCCATACCTTTGTATGTGCTGTGTGCCAGCTTGGTGCACCGTGGGACACAGCATCAGCAGGCTGCTCACCATGCCCTATGGCAAGCAACTTCTCCAGCCAGAAGCTTGGCCCTGAAAACTCCATTCTGTGTCAACCCTGTCCTCTGCAAGCAGCTGCCTGCACCTGGGGTGGGGGGAAGCAGGGCTGGCAGGAGGCTGGGCTGAGGCTGGGACTGGGACCAGGCAGGTGCTGCCCTGCTGAGCTGGCTGCTGACAGCCCAGGGCAGGGCTTCAGGCTGCTTTTGGCACTCCTGGGTCTGTGGTGCTCTTGGGCTCGTTCCTCATCACCTGTTCTCTCCTCTCACCAGGAACCACTGTGTGTCCCCCGTGCGACAACGAGATGAAGTCGGAGGCCATTGTTGAGCACCTGTGTGCCAGCGAGTTTGGTAAGGAAGCATTCCTGCTGCTATGGCTCTGGATTGTGGAGAGGAGAAGGCACTTGGTGCCCTGGCTGCAGAGCATCCTGCTTCCCTTCCAGCTGTGCCTGCTGCAGCAGGTTGGGTACATGATGCTGGAAGGGCATCTCCCTGTGCAGGGAGCAGGGTGCTACAGGGTGCTACAGCTGCTCAGCAACCACTGTGCTACCCGGGCCAGCTGGTGGCTGCCTTGCTGTGGGCTTGGAGGTGTTTTTAGGGTGCTGGGAGGCTTCCTGGGCTGTGCAGGGCAGTGCAGCTCTGTGTAGGCTGGATCCTGGACCACTGGATTCCCACCACCCTTGTGGTCGATATGGGTCAGCAGTACAGTCTCATTGTCTGCGGCAGCCTGGGGGCAAGCATGCCTCTAGATGTCAGTGTTGATGCGTGGTGGCAGCAGTGTGTGGGATGTGTCTGGTGGGGAGTGGGGTCTTGGAGCTGCGTGGCCCCATGGCAGCTCAGCAGGGAGGTGTCACTGAGTGTCTGCTGCCCAGGCTGCCGGCACCCCCGGGTCTCAGCAGAATTCTGCTCTTCTTGCCAAGTCTGGGTGTTGAACCCAAAAACCCATCCCTTGCCTTTTTAAGGCTGAGAAGCGAAGGGGAAAAAATGCAGTGCGATTGGAAAGCTGTGTCCTAAATCCATTATGGCTCATAAGTGAGTCAGACAATCATAGGGAAACAGAGCTTCATTAAAAACAAGAAAAAACCACAAAGAAACAACCAAAGAAAGCTGTTGCAGGGAAAAATATGAGCTTTTTCAGATCAAGCCCAGCATTAACTGGTTTTGACATCCTTGCTGGTGTCTGTAACTTTCCTGAAAAGCTATTAAAGGAGCATTGAGCAAGGTGTGCATTCCGGGGGGATTAGCACTTGAACGTGTGCTGTGCAAACCCCAACCTGCTCTGTGCTGATGCTTTACCCCTTCTGCTGGAAATGAATTCCCCACGCCTGCAGGTTTGGTATGCCAGAAGGCCTAAGTTCAGTGCAGACTTTTTTCTAACGGGGGAAAGCATCCACAGGAACACCCATGTAATAGTTCCTCAGGAATGTGCGTGCTCCCGGAGTGCAAGAATTCAGTGTGGCTGGGAGCTGCCTGTCCTGAGCTCCTCATCTGTGGCCCAGGAGTTTTCTTGTGAAAACAAGACAACTTCTTCCTGGAGAGGAGTCCAGAGCAGCTGAGCAGGACATAACTGGTGTCTGCTGCGTGTGAGGCATCATTCTTTCCTCACAATGGAAAGCTGGTTGCATTTTGGGTTGCCTTTTGTTCTCCTCTTCCTCTCTTGTCACCAGAATAAATAGCAGTGGAAAAGTTCATTTGCATGGATTCTCAGTGGTGTAGGTTTCAAGCTGCTGCCTTTGGCACTTCTTCCTTCTGCCTCTGCGTTCTTCCTCCTCCATTGAGGAGAAGTCCCTCCAGCCACTCTGATGTGCTGGGAGCTGGGGTGTAGGATGTGGGCAGGATGCTGTGGGGATGCCTGGCAGTGGGGAGCAGCTGGTGAGCGATGGATCGGCCCCAGGAAGTGCTCTCCCACCGCAGGATCCTTAGATCTCTGTTTAGTCTTCAGGGGTTACTGTCGTGGGGGTGATTTCTCATGGAGAGCTGTTTATCTGGCACTAACATAAACTCCCGTCCCCTCCAACTGAGGTTTCTCATGCACATCCAGCAAGGTAAACACCGGCAGCTGACAGGTTACAGAACCTCATCACAGCCAGACATGTACTGTAAATGTTTAAACTACGTGTACTGTGAGGGGCAGCTGGTGGTGGGCTCTGCTCACCGCTTTTCCCCAGTTCACATGGTGCCCTTGTTGTAGGGCTCCTGCACATCCCTGGGCTGTGCTGTTGGTGCTCTGCCTGCTTGCAGCAGCTCGGGGCTGGGCAGCCCTGGCATGCTGCTGCTCTCTGTTTCTCCTGGTGGGTGTATTTATCGTTTCTGCCCTTTCCCTGAGGTCTGAGAGATCCTGCCCAGCGGGCTCTTGCTGAACCAGGACTGCAGTACAATCAATACATGCTGTTTATTTTTCCCCTTGACTGACAGCTCCTTGCCTGCACCCTTCTCCAGTTACAGCCCTAATGTGTCTTCTGGCAGGTTTCCTTCTTCTGTGCGATTCCTGAAGGAAGGAGCAATGAGGCTGCAGGAACAGCAGAGCTTTCCACTCTCTCACATTCCCTTCCCTGCCCCTGGGGGTGCTGGTGTGGGGCTCCTACATGTGGGGGAGCGCTGGGATGGAGCCAAGTGCTGTGGGCTGGGGTGCACCTGGGGTGGGGGTGATCTCAGTGATGTGTTCCTGTGCCTTGTGCCCTTCCAGGGCTCGGTGCAAATGGAGCTGCTCTGGTCTCTCCTGCTCTGTAAAGCTTGCATCTCTAGCTCCCTGAGCATCCTGAATTTGGAAAGCAGATAGAAAGAAAGCTTTCCTTTAGTTTCCAGCCCTAGATTGCTTTCCTGTACAGTAATAGTATAACACAACAGGGCTCTTGGCAAGCACAACAGCCTTTTTTGGCATGTGGGCAGACAAATACCATTATTCTCACTGCCAGTGCAGTGGCTGGGAGCACGAGGGTAGCACACAGACTGTGCTGCCTTCTTGAGGCTGTCATTGCTGTCCTGCTGCCATGTGTGTCTGCAGTGGTGACCTGAATATGACGTGTATTTATTGCTACAAGTTCCAGCAGGGCAGAGCTTCAAGGGGCAGTGATGCAGGGGACTCTTTCCCCTGCCAGAGCCCATGGCTTCTGCTGTGCTACCTGCTGTTCACACGTCTGAGAATCAAATGGGAAGGGACAGCAGACAATCACATATCTGAGCATTATTTATCTGTGGCTCTGAAGTAAACTCCCAAATGATGGAAATATGTTAGTCATTTTTGGCCACATGTGCTTTCCCCCAAAAACGAGACAGAGCCAAATGGCACAGAAGTGGTACTTTAATGTACAACACATTTCCATCATTTTTCCCATGCTTACTGAATTCCTGTTCATGGTCATGGCAAATGAGCATTAATTTTCTTTTATTTGGGTTGCTATTTACTCAGGAAGGCACTGAATCCAAAGAGGAGAATTCTTCTGTTGGTATGGGATGGGGTTGGCCCTGCTCCCCAGGTCCCCACCAGCTCACACATAGCAATACTCAGTGTTCAGAATGTGTTTTACAGCTGCCTGAGGGCAGGAGAGCCTGAAAGCAAATGTTTGAGGAGCTGAGTTGATCTCTTAAGAGTCTCTCTGTCATTGCTCAGCTAACATTTTGCTAGCAAATCATGCATTGTGCTGCTGAACAAATTTCCTTCTCAATTAAAATTGTTTTGTGCTGAGAACTTTCTGGTGTTTTTTTTCCCCCCTTCTCCTTGGCTTGTTTTTCAGCTCTTAAGATGACCATCAAGGAGGTGAAGAAGGAGAACGGGGACAAAGTGATCATTCCACGGAAGAGGAAGGCGCTGAAGCTGGGGCCCATCCGCAAGAAGAACCTGAAGAAGTTGGTGCTGCTCCTGAAGAATGGGGCTGACTGCCCCTGCCACCAGCTGGACAACCTTGGCCACCATTTCCTCATCATGGGCCGCCAGGTGAAGACCCAGCACCTTCTGACAGCCATCTACAAGTGGGACAAGAAGAACAAAGAGTTCAAGAAGTTCATGAAGAAGGTGAAAGCTCCGGACTGCCCAACGTTCCCATCTGTCTTCAAGTGACCCCCATGGGGGCCAAACCCCCCCCCCTTTCTTCCTCATCCTCAGAGCTCCCCCAGCCCCACCTCCTGCCCCATGCCAGCATTTCCCAGAGTGAGCACTGAGCAGACCCCGAGGTCATGAACCACATACATCTGCAATAGCCAAAGACCCATTGCTGTGAGTTCATGGAAATAGCAACGATCAGATGCAGAGGGCTGTGAGACCACATGATTTTGGACGTGACCCTCGTGACCACCTGTATTTGTGGCTGCAGGAGCACCTGAGTTACTTCCTACAGGACCAGAGCCAGCCTATTGGAAAAGCATTCCATCCTGACAAGTTAATAAACAAGTGAAGCAGCATCCATCGAACCCCTGATAAAACCTCTTAGTAGCTAATTGCCCTCATGGTAAATACAAACCCACCATTATTCCAGTCTGAGTGCCTTTGGGTTGAGCCTCAGCCCAGGACCTCACGGTGCCCTGATTTGCTGGCTCTCATTCCCAACCATTGCATGGTCCCACATACCTGGCTGTGTCCCTCAGTGAGGCTCTGCTTGCTGGCTCGTGTCTTTGCTCATTTTACCACCAATATTTCGTAGTTTCTTCAGGCCGTCAGCAAAATATTGCACTGCAGAAGGGCAAGGAGTGATTCCTGTGGAGCAGCACAGGACTGCATCCTCTCCGTGCTCCTCTTCCTGCAGTTGGGACTGATTGGTGTCCAGGTTTTGATGTATGACAGCTTGGCTTTGTTTGTACTGTTGTTGTTTTTTTCCTGTCATCAAAATACCACATTAGTGTGAGGTTGTGTCGTTATATGAAAGACAATGAATACTGCATCCAAATGATTATTGACCAGGCTGAAATTCATTATTCTGTTAATTAGATGTGTTCTTTTCTGCACAGTCCCACGTTACTCCACATTAATTACACCATCCCGCTTCTATTCATCATTCTCATCAATCATGATTGCTCTTAAGAGAATGACTGTCTTAAAACTTGAAATAATCCTGTAGCTTTGCAGTTAACTCTGCTCAGATCTGGTGAATGAATTGTTCTCTGGCTCGGGAGCGCTGTGTGTTTCTTTCATGACTGAACCATGGACTTTATTGTAGATAAACTCCCTAAATATGCTGAGCACCCTGATGAATGCTGCTTCAGAACTAGCAGAGAGATGGATTTAGGATGTGAACTCTTTAGAAAATCCCACTAAGTGTCTTAGACCACAGCGTGTATTAGCATTGTTACTGTGATGCAAAGTTAATCATTGTAGATAATGTACTTGATCAGTGAATTAAAAAAAGAAAAAAAAAGAGCAAAACCACAAAAAAGATCCACCCTAAGCTTTAGAAGCAGCTCAGGGCTGCTGAGCTGTGTGTGATGTTTCAGACACGGTGCATTGGGCATCTCCATGTACCTGGATGGTTGTTGTACCACCCTCCTGCCAAACTGCTGTGGGATCTGCCAGCAGTTCTGTGCAGATGGAGCAGGCAGAGCCCCTGTGCATCATTGCATCCCTTGTGCTCTCTTTGTATGTGGAGGATTTTAATAATAATAATAATAATAAAAAAATAACAGCACTAAGAGTTTGACGTAACGTCGTGTTGTAGACAGGATATATATTTACATTTTGCTCTAATGTAATTTTAGATGGTTAATTTAGAACCTTGTGTGGCAGCCCCAAATCAGAGCTGCAGCTGCTGCCTATGCCCCCCTGGGCTCCCATCTCCCCCAACCCAGGGATGGAGCAGCACTGGGCTGCAGTCCAGGCCCACAGCGCCGAGGCTGAGGCTGCAGATCCACATCAGCATCTGCTTCCATGGCGTGGCTGGAAGCCTCAGACATGGTGAAGGTGTTCAGCACTGCAACCACAGCAGTGTGCTCACGGTAGATGATTTCAGCTGTTGGTTTTGATGTTACGGCTTGCATTTATTTTCAAATCTCATATCTGTTGTTTATGCTTTTTCTTTTATGTATCAATCGTCTCTTCACTAAAACTGCTAAATTAATCAACAACGACGTGATTCCCCCTCCCTGTTTTTATAGAGACATCGTTTTCTGTCCCACGTTGGTGCTGTCAGAGGTGGCTGCAGTGCGATGCAATGGGACGTGATGCGATGCTGGGGATGTCTGGGCTGGATGTGCTGCAGCTTTTTGGACAAGAGGAGGGAGATGCTTCTCACAGCCAAACTTAACGCTCCCCAGCGGTGCATCCCTGCTCTTAGAACCCAGAAATCATCTTGCAGTGCAGCCCATGCACTCTGCAAATAGGTCTGGGGGTGTGAGAGCCAGGTGGGGGTCATGCAGGGCACAGAGCTGCAGTGGGCTTTGAGGACTCCGCATTCCTTATTTGCTCGTGAGGCTCAGGGGGAGCAGCCCAAGCTACACATCAAATAGGTTTTGAAGGACAAATGCTCCAAATGCAATTGTGACAGCGTAGAAGAAGAGCACAGATGTGTGAGTGCTGTGAGCAGGCACAACCCAGAGCTGTGTGAGGAGTCTGTGCTGCTGTGGGAACCTCTCATGTGAGCACAATGCATTACAGCAGAGCGCTGCTTGCTTTTCTCATGGTATATTTTGACAAAGAAATCTGTACTTGATTGTTTTGCTTTGTTTTAAACTTGTGGTTGATATAAACACATTATGGCTTCTGTTCTCTCTCTTCTGTGATTGGAGCAAGAAAACCTCTCAATAAAATGTTGGGGTTTTTTTTTTTTTTCCTCCTCCCTTTCAAAGTTATTTTTATTGTTGCCTTTTCCGTATCAGTTGCATTACTCACTCTGACATTCAAGGGTTCAGCACACTGTCTCTATACAGACACAGCTTATCTGCACTGCTGCCTGGCAAGGAGAGATGCAAGAGCTTAAACCACACATCCACAGTGCTGAGACAGAGAAGTGCTGTCAAAGTGCTGCTTCTAGACACTGCTTTATCTGTACATTAATACCCCTGTTGCAAACCAGCTAGCTCTCACCAGTGCAAGCAAAGGCAATGAGCTCCTTACAGCAAACAGCATTGTCTGCAGGAATTATTTCCTAGAAAATGTTGTTGCTGTCACTGGTAGCAAGGAAAGCTGGCACGCACCTGAAACCCCATTAGTCAGCCCTGGATCCAGCTCTCAGGTTATTCCAATCAGAGCAGTCACCCATCCTTTGAGAAACAGCCAGCAGGGCTGAGCATAGCCTGCAGTTGGTCTCAGGTGGAGGGGAGGTTTGATAGTGGAGAAATCAGGGAGCTCCTGCCCTCCAGTGCCCCTGGCCAGGGACATCAGCAACAGCACGAGGTGCCATGAGAGCAGGTAAGAGCAGCTCCAACGTAGGAGTTATGCTATAATTGGTTCCAATACTGATTGCTACGAGTTCTGTTTATGCAGCGTGCTCATTCTAAACCAGGATTTTTATGAGTTCTGCTGTGTAATAATCTGGGGTGAGATTTTTCACGTGCATGTATGTAACTGTAGGTTACATAAAGTAGGGAGTGTGCTTAGAGCCAGCAGAGTGCTGGGGGTGCAAAGAAATACCCAAAGTTAGGGGAGTTTTGCTGACCTGAATGCACTTTTGTTTCAGGCTCATGTCCAGCTCTGAGTCTGGCTTCACAATGCAGGGAGGCTGAGAAAGCTTGGGGGTGGTTGAGGATTGCCCAGCAGTGACTGCATTGTGTCTGTGTGCTGTGCCCCATGGAAAACTGCTTCTAGCATGTGTGAGGGTGAAACAGCTGATCTGGCAGCATGAGGATGCTCAAGCCTTGCCAGCAGCCTGCCCTGGCCTTGTCTGAATCTTGCATAAAACAAAATATCATCCTCTTGTGACTCAGTTTATCCTCCCATTAATGTTTATCTTACTTGCTCCAGCATTCTTTCTGTTGAGTATCGTCTGTTAATTGAGTTTCTGGTCTCCAGTTCATAGTTAAGCTCTAAATAAATACAGTTTGCTTTCCTGCTATACAAAAGTCATCTTCCATCCTACAATTAATTTCTTGTCCTTGGCAATCTGTGTTCTTCTTTGACCCCTTCTGGGGAACACAGGGCTGGAAATTGTGAGCAATTAGGGACGGTTTCTCCTGGAGAAGAGCAGATACCAGCCTGGTGTGTCTGACAAGGAGCTCTATTAACGTTCTGCAGGATGGGGAGGTGATGCACCACAGCTGCTCAGGCAGTCTGGTGACATGTCTGCAAGGGAAATGCTGCCTGTGTTTATCTGCAGCGCTGTCTGGGCACGGTGTAACACCAAAGCCCTCCTTTGCTCTGGTGCTGTTCAGCTTTGCTGGGACACGTGCTGCAACTTCAGCACAGAACTGCCCCTCTTTGTGCTGCTGAGGGGCTGAAGTCCTACATGGAGTGGCAAGGAGATGTGTGGATGTCTCCACAATGGGGAATGGTGTTTATGCCCCAACTCTGTAAAGCAAAGGGTGCCTTGCTGCACGTAGCCACACAAACCATAGACTGGGAGAGATGCACAGAGGAAAACAAGGGATTTGTAACGTGCCACGATGAAGAACAGAACAGGAAGTGGGAAAGAAATACTTCCTTTCCTTTCAGATGCTTTTGTGGAAAAAAACAGATCCATCAAGGATACAGGGATGCAAAACTCCCTGCTCTGAGTGTGCCTTGAGCCACAGGGCATGCAGACGTGGGAAGCTCTGCTTCAACCTCAGTGCAGAGAAAGTCTGCTATGAGATCGAGGGAGGGAAAAATCTCTCAGAATTCACAGCAAGTGCTGTAAATGCCTCTGTTTTGTGAGGGCTCAGACTCGTTTTATTGTCATTTCTTCTCCAGTAATCCCATCCGAGCCTCTGAGCATCCCACCTGTTGGCTGAGTTGCACCCCTCTGTTAGTCTGGAGGTGACAAAGTCACGTTTCAATGCCCTTTTTGGGATTCAATGCCCTTTTTGGGAGCCTGGCTGGCTCCTGTGCTCTATGCATGGGGCCGTGGCTCTGCACTATGTGGCTTCCCTGGGCAGTGCTGTGCCAGGAGCCGTGGGTTGGCCCATCAGGTTGGCTGGCTGAGCTGCAGAAGCCTCCCAGTCTCTGGAAAATGAGAACTCTGTTCCAAGACCCTCTCAGCGAAGGCTGGAATCTCCTCTGGGCTGGCTGTTGGCCACAAGCTGTCCTGGTAGCAATGTAAGGGCAATGGTGTGCTCAGCTCTGCAGTGCAGGGTGATGGTGCCTGCAGGACCATCAGCTCTGCTACACACAGCTTCCAGGATCCAGGGAGCTGTGAGGGGCCAGCAAATGGTCTCTGCAGAAATGTGCACAGCCTGGAAATGCTGTGAGTAACGTTGTTTTTTTTTTTTCTGTTGGAGATGTGTGCCAAGTCCTCACTCCAGCAAGGAGATGTGGGAAAGCAGGGCTGTGGGTGGATGAACCACACCTGGGTCACAGTGCTGCTGCTGCTCAGTGAGACCCCCACCAAACTCCTGAGTTATTAACGTGGATGAGAGATTGATTTGCTAGAAGGTATTTTTCTTTGCTGGGTGAGCAAGCACATGCATGGCTCTGACATGCAGTGCTCAGAACTTCATTAAAGTGCACCAATGATGAACTGCAATTCCTTTAGCCAATGCAATTTGCAACAGAGCAGCACCCAGCCTGGGCAATCTCCTCTGCTATTGTACAGTCAGGGTAAATCACTAAGCTGGAGAGATTGCAGCTCAGAAAGCAAATGGGATCCTGGGCTCCATCAGCAGAGGGGTGGCAGCCGGGACAGGGAGGCGATCGTCCCCCTCTGCTCTGCTCCTGTGAGGCCCCATCTGCAGCACTGCGTCCAGGGCTGGAGCCCCCAGGACAGGAAGGACAGGGAGCTGCTGGAGGGGGTCCAGAGGAGCTGCAGAGATGAGCAGGGGCTGCAGCACCTCCACCACGAAGACAGGCTGAGGGAGCTGGGCTTGTTCAGCATGGAGAAAAGAAGGCTGCGGGGTGACCTCAGTGCAGCCTGCAGTGCCTGAAGGGAGCCTGCAGGCAGGAGGGGAGTCAGCTCTGTGCAAGGGGAGATGGCAGCAGGACGAGGGGAAACGGTTTGAATGGAGGGAGGGCAGCTGGAGGTTGGATGTCAGAGGGAAGTTGTGTGCTGTGAGAGTGGTGAGGTGCTGGAACAGCTGCCCAGAGAGGCTGTGATGCCCCGTCCATCCCTGGAGGTGTTGGAGGCCAGGTTGGATGGGGCCCTGGGCAGCCTGGGCTGGTGTGAAATGTGGAGGTTGGTGGCCCTGCGTGCGGCAGGGGGTTGGAGCTCCGTGATCCTTGAGGTCCCTTCCAACCCTGGCCATTCTGTGACTCTGTGAAAGGACAGAGCATGTTGGTGGCAGTTCCAGGTGTGGCCATATGTGAGGTGCTGGTGGCTGCGCTGCCCTCCTCACCTGCAGCGCCACTGCTGGGCACCCGTGGGTGAGATCTCAGCATCCCCAGTACCCAGCCTGGGTGTGAGGGAGCAACCAGGGGTGGCTGCTGAGGTGATGCACTGAATGTTCCATGCTAAATGGTCTAAAAAAAAAAAATACTGAGCTAAATGTTTATGAAAATCTCCCCCTGGATTAATGGTTGCCAGACAGCTGAGGGGTAATTACATGTGATACGACTTTAATTATTAAGCACGGAGCTGCCCAGCTGAATTACTGTAGCCCCTAACTGCCTACTTCAATGTTTACAATTTCTTCACCATTCCCTGTTCTTCCCTCTCACTCACCCTAAATGTTTATTTAATAATCCTGAAAGACCTTTTAAGCTTTCTGGGTTTAATGTTTGCTAAACACCCTGTCACTTTCACTTCTATTGACAATTCCCTGGTTCTGCTCAGCCCCAGAGCTTTGCAGTGGGATGGGGCTGATGGGGAAGGTGGGAGCAGGCAGCACGTCCCTGTGCTCAGTGCTTCCCTGCCCTGGGTGGGCACTGAATGGGGCACAGACATGGAGCTGGCACACGGTGCTGCCAGTTGTGTCATTTCTGCACTGCACTGCCTCCACCTCCAAGCTCTCTGCTGCGCTCACGCAGTATTAATTTCAGCAAATTCATTTTTCTTCACAAAAGCTTTTGGTTATTTGAGATTAGGGGCTGTTAGGGCTCATTGTTTCCCAAGCTGTGCCTTGTTTTGCTGTGCTGCTCCAAGTCTGGTCTGCAGGAACTTAATCTCCCCTCTCCTGCAGTGGTTCTGTTCTTAGAAAATCTGTTCGCTGCTCTTGTGCAAATTGTTGATGGGAGATAGCAGTGGGCCTTCCTGCTTCTATTTAACGTGTCAGCAGAGAGAGACATCTGCTTGCAATTAAGGTACAGCCATGCTGAAGGATCGGGGTGGTAGATGTTAAACGATAATGGGAAGTCTTTATCGATTCATAATTCCTCGCGTCGTACAAAGGAATACATTTCATTTAAAATTCCTGGCCCAGGGAAAACCAGCAAAGCAGCAAGCAGTGCGGGCAGACTTGGGAACAGAGCAGAGGAATGGGAAGGATGGAAAATCCTGGCCTCATTTCTAAAATGCCATGCGTTTCTGGGTGTTGCTGAAGGAGTCAAGCTTGGCTAAGGCAGGGAGGAAGCGCGTGGCAGGGTGTGCAGCCGGGGCCATTTCAGAGCTGGATCCCATTCCTGCCCTGTGTGTCCCCCGGGCTGCTTGGTGACACGGGCTGCCAGCTCCCCATGCTGAGGATGTTTGTCCCTTGTAGATGATGCA